GTAGAAACTGTGGTTTCATACTGATCTTAAAGGGCTCCAGTTACCTTGCCAACTCAGTGTTTGGGAGACCCAGGATATGCCTAAGTTTAACCTAGGTTCTAGATAATGTGTTTACTTAAATATGTATCTTTGTTGTTTAAAATTGTTTAACTAGTGCTAATCACCTAAAAATTAAGGCTAAAAGTTCTAGCTACCTGGAAAGCATGGCCTTGGTGTGATAGGAGGAAAAAGAAATGTTAAATGGATGGTAGACCAGTGAGCTGGGACTGGTCACTAATGGTGAATTGTGAGAAGGGCTGAACGTGGCCTAACTTCTCTTTCCTTGGTACCCCTGAAACGTCAGAGGGTACTTCTGGCCTTGGTTTTCCAATGTGTTTAATCTGTCAATTTTGTTGTTTAGCCGAAATCCTCTTGAATGACATTGAATGATTCTTTCCTTCCTCTTTAACTTTTGGGGGATTGTGTGAATGGATTAATGGCTTCTAGATGGCATTCACCATCTCTGAGACTTCCAGAGAGAAGTCAAAACTCGAACTGGCTACACAACTGAAACTGATTTGTTGGTATTTTGTGGTATAAATGTGGACCGTTTCTATCTGGATGAGACATAGGTCAAAAGTCCTGTCCTAGGATGTGAGAAAGGGAGGCCTCCACATCTGTTCCTGTCTGCTCAAGATCCCAAGACTGTAAAGGTACTTGTTCACTAAAAGGGTGTAAATGTTTATTTGATGTTTGTATGTCTACTTGGGTATAATTATTTGTTCATATAAATGTGGAAGTATATTCTGTGCTAGGTTGGGATTTTGGAATTCTGGGGTAGATTTAAAAGGTATTTGTGGCTTTTCTAATCTGATTGGGACATTTAAGGGTGGGGCTCACAGTTCCTCAGGGCAGAGATTCCATGGGCCCTTCCCCCTGCCTGTGCTGAATTAAATAATGCAGGCCAGTGTCATTTAGCTTGCTGGTTAAAGGAAAACAATGGGCCTTAGAATCTGTAAAGGTGGGCGGGAATGAAGCTGGTCTAATGTACTGAAAGGGTTTGGTACCTGTTGCTGCTAGCAAAGGAGGGGCTGATACCCACTTCTAGCACACTCCCTTGAAAGAGGCCTGGTTGCTGCTCTGCCAAAAAGGGAACTGGTAGAAAGACAAGAGAGGGCTCCAGAGGGCGCACGAGGACATTTGGTCGCGCCTCCACGCCATCTATGGGACCAGCCCAACCCCAACTCCTCATCAGCACAGACCAGGAGATTGGGTCTACATCAGAAGGTACTGCTGGGAGACCCTAGAGCCACGTTGGAAGGGTGTGGTGCTGAAGACCCCCACCGCTCTCAAGGTAGACGGCGTCACGACCTGGGTCCATCCGGAAAGACTTCATCACCAAATAGAGCGTCGATCGAGATCCACGCAACCCGCTCAAGCTCAAGCTACGGCGTGCTCGACCTGCGTGATGCTGGTAACATTAAATAGATTTAGATAATGCCTGCGCCTTCATGGACACGGCTCCAAAATGACAAGGACAATTCATAGGATCACATGTCTAGTATCATGTTTTATTGTATTGATATGTTATATTGACCTTTGATTCTTTTGCAGGTTTGACTGTATGTTGGTTGTCCTGGAAGGGAGCTGTGTGGGGTGACCCCCAAAAGTAAAGGGTGTCTAGCTGCCAAGAGGACAAGTGCCCAACTGGGCAGGGAAGGGTGCCCATCAGGTTTTGGTCTCTGTTGAGAGACAGCTAACAGTTGACAGCCTGTAATACTGTCTTGTAGGCCTGAGTCACCATGCCCATGTCAGGGGTAGTAAAGCTGGAAAAAGCCTGTTTAGACTAGAAAGTCCGAGGAATGGACCAACAATTACTGTTTTGTTTTAAATCCATGAAAAGAAATTAGCAAGGAAAGTCAGAAAATCTTAGAGTAAATCAGTATGTTTTTCTCCTTATGTAATTCCTCCAAAATCTTAATGCTAAGTAAGTACGTTTCTTTGCATAGATTCAGTAAGACTGGTGCCTAGTAGTGGTTTTATTAACGGAAAACTTTGACTGGAGTATCATGTTTTAAAGAGCCCTATCTGAGCTCCAAAGACTTGAAGCCACTAAGAATGCCACGAAGAAAGCCTGGTATCCTGCCTGGGAGCCCTGAAGACGGCTGGCGCTGGAGCGTCAGGCCCATGCCCTACCATCACTGGCGGTTGGTAAGAGTAGAAGGGGAGCAGTAAAGATGCCTCTGCATCCCTGCAGAACCCCCACACACTCTGGGCCGCAACAAGTAGGAGGGCTACTGAGATGGGCCTTAAAGCCTGGAGCGTGGGCTCAGGTGGAGTTGCTACAGGTGAGGGATTCACCTAACTCAGCAGATACTGCAGGCAGGCCTGATGGCAGCTGGATGGCTTGGCTTCCTGGCCCTACGGGGCACATTAAGGTTCAACCATGAAATTCCAGCAAAGGTAGTCAGTTACCATTCTTGTTGTGTTTATGCAAACATCAGGACAGTATAATCTTTATTTGGCTTTTTAATAGCCATGGAGGAATTTTAAGAAGAAAAATCCTATTTCAATAGAAGTTGTTAAAGCTAAAATGGTTTCTTTCCCTTCCACCGGACCATTTGTTAAGTGTATAAAATAGCTCAGTTGATAGTTCTGTGTGCTCACTACGGGCCCCTAGCGACGGTGAAATAAAAGTGCAGTCCGTCTCATGATTGAGCCGGAAGTTCCAAGACAAGGGGGGAATGATGGGGCAGAGGCCATGTGCTCAGAAAAGTGCCTTCTTCCCGAGCCCAGGCCCCTGCTGGCCACGCCCAGGATTTAACAAGACCCGACTTGCGCCTGGCCAATCGGCAGGGCCCACAGCCGGCTCCCCTCCCCTCACTATTCTCACGGGGGGCACTCGGTTTCCGGTCGCTGAGGCGACTGGAGGCCCGGGTCGGGTTAGCTAACTCAATAAAGGACCTTCTGCTTTTGCATCGGACTGACTCCCTGGCATGGTTTCTTGGGGATCTTGAATTCTGGGCATAACAGTAGTACCTGGGGGAGTAAGCGAAAGAATACTTAGTGTAAAGTGCATAGCAATTCACCAAAGCAATACATATGGCCAAAATGAAAAAGGAAATGATTCCTAACCAGAAATCAAGGAAATGGAAAGTAACCAGCAATGAGCTATCACTTTCACCTACCAAATCAAGAAGAAAAGAAAACGAAACTAATAATGCTGGACGGTGCGGAAGCAGACGTCCTTATATATTGCTAAAAGGAGTGTAAATTGGAAATTGGTACATTCCCGGAGGTCAGTTTGGCAATGTGTTTTTAGAGCCTTAAAAAATTTTCACACTCTTTGATCCAGAGTTTTACTTCTAGATACTTAGCCTAAGAAAACCATCAAATGTGTGTGTGGGGGGAAGAGCTATCATAACTATCTGTCTATAAGTTTGTCCTTAATATGATAGGAAGAAATATAGTAAGTATGAGTTTTCATAACCTTCCTCTCGCTCACAAACATTTATAAATAAGAAAGTGGATAAATAAATTGCAATACAGTCCTTTTTCAAGTTGGGACTGAGCCATGGGCATCTCTTGGGACAACTGGAACAAGTGCCACAAAACTGTGGGCAAGAGAAAGTCCTACCACAAGGAGTGAAAATATGAGCTGAGTTTTGGCCCTGCTAACAACACCCAGATAGGCCCCACGGTATACACATGCTAGTCTGCGGGCCAGTAGGCAGCAAGAAATACTGTGCCTTGAGGCTGAATGTGGACAACTTCTCCTGGGGCTTCGGTGTTGTACCTGCAAAACAAGAATTATTGATGTCTATATGCATCCAACCATGAACTGGTCCTCACCATGACCCTCGTAAAAAAACTGCATCATGCTCATTGCCAGCACGCTGTACCGACCAACAGTGGTACGAGTCCCACTAGGCAATGCCCCTGCACTGCAAGAAGGGGACCAAGCTGACTCCTGAAGAGACAGAGATTTTAATGATCAAAGAAAATTCAAAAGAAATATGATGAAAGGAAAAAGAATGCCCAAATCAGCAGTCTTCTAGAGGTGGACTTCCAGCAAGGCAAGTCTCTTGCATGCATCGCTCCAAAACCAGGTCACTGTTGCCAAGCGGATGGCTGTGTGCTAGAGGCAAGGAGCTGGGGAAGGAAAATCAAGGCCTAGAAAGGCAAATAAATCCTCCTCCCTCCTATCTTAGCTCATGTAATAAAGGTGTTTATTCTTCTCTAAAAGTTGCATATAGTCCTAAAATACTACTCAACAATATGAAAGAATGAACTACTGATACACCCAACATGTGTAGATCAAAACCATCTTATATAATAAAACCCTAATATGCAAATTGACCAAACGGCGGAAGGACTGGTCACTATGACAGACACTGACCATCAGGGGGCAGACAGTCAACACATTGAGCATCTGCCACCCGAGATGGAGGCAACCGGAAGCAGCAATCGGGGGGCAAGGCCAGCCAGCAGGCAGCACCAGGCTGCCAGCCAAGGCAGGTGCCAGTGGGCCCCCCCCATCACCCTGCCCACTGGTCACCCCGCAGAGGGAGGCGATGTGGCAGTGGGGGAGGGGGCTGGCCAGTGAGCGGCGCCAGGCTGCAAGCCAAGGCAGGTGCCAGCGGGCCCCCCATCACCCTGCCTGCCGGTTGCCCCACAGATGGCCAGTTGCCGGCCAGGTCTAGGAACCCTACCCTATATATTGGGAAGAGTCTCTTAGAGATAAAAATTAAAACCTGGCAAGGCTACTCTAACACTGAAAACACTGGATGATGCAGCGATGCCATGCATGGACTCTGGCTTGTACCTTTTGTGATCAGCCCTGATTCTGACCCTCATAACTGTGTGACAAAGCCAATTACTTAACTTCTCTCTACTTTAGTTTTTCCACCCATAAGATGGGGAAAATGGTACTACTGCCTCAGAAGGATCATGCTATGAACTGCTTTTTATAATCAGGGCAAAAAATATAGCTGCCCATACAACAGCAAGAAGCCTTTTACCGGTATGAAAAGTATGGTCACTGGTACATGCAGCGTCCAGGATTGTGAGAGGGATGTTCGACTGCCGGTTTAGGCCCGACATCCACTGAGGGGTCCTGGATTGCTAGAGGACGCAAGCCGGGCTGAGAGTCTGCACCGCCCCCTCCGTGCATGAATTTCATGCACTGGGCCTCTAGTGTTGTCTATAAAAGAAGACACATACACTCAAGAGTAGTACACAGTAGCAATAAATGTTTAAGAAACAGGTTGGGCCGAAACCGGTTTGGCTCAGTGGATAGAGTCTGCGGGCCAGTAGGCTGAATGTGGACAACTTCTCCTGGGGCTTCGGTGTTGTACCTGCAAAACAAGAATTATTGATGTCTATATGCATCCAACCATGTGTTGTACCTGCAAAACAAGAATTATTGATGTCTATATGCATCCAACCATGAACTGGTCCTCATCATGACCCTCGTAAAAAAAAACTGCATCATGCTCATTGCCAGCACGCTGTACCGACCAACAGTGGTACGAGTCCCACTAGGCAATGCCCCTGCACTGCAAGAAGGGGACCAATCTGACTCCTGAAGAGACAGAGATTTTAATGATTCTGGATTTTAATACATTTTTGGAAAGTCAGGAGACTCTGAGGATCATTAAGAGCGAACACTGTCTTTGAATAGTTCCTAATATTTAAGTGAAACGGGTGATGGAAACTCCTCTGCTCTTAAGTGGGCCATGCTAGGCACCATTTGTTAGCGATGCGCTACATAGGAACTCAAGCTCTATTCCTCCCAGTCTTTCTTGTTCCATTCTTTGGGTTAAATTACATCAGCGCTGGAATTCACAGAAAGAGATAATGGGAGGACCGAGGATGTCTATATGCATCCGGTATATATATAGAAAGGCAAATAATGTCTATATGAAACCGGTTTCGGCCCAACCTGTTTCTTAAACATTTATTGCTACTGTGTACTACTCTTGAGTGTATGTGTCTTCTTTTATAGACAACACTAGAGGCCCAGTGCATGAAATTCATGCACGGAGGGGGCGGTGCAGACTCTCAGCCCGGCTTGCGTCTTCTAGCAATCCAGGACCCCTCAGTGGATGTCGGGCCTAAACCGAAGGTTCCAGGTTCGATTCTGGTCAAGGGCATGTACCTGGGTTGCGGGCACATCCCCGGTGGGGGATGTGCAGGAGGCAGCTGATCGATGTTTCTCTCTCATTGATGTTTCTGACTCTCTCTCTCCCTTCCTCTCTGTGAAAAATCAATAAAATATATTTTTAAAAAAACTTTATAAAAAAAGAAACAGGTTGGAAGAGATGATTTTTTTAAAGGACCAAATTATTAATAATTATGAAAAGATTTCCTTCTCCTGAATAATGTTAAAATGTGAGATTCTTTTGAGAAACTCCTTATGAAAATCCTGTGAATTTTTATTCTTCACAGTAGTTTTTTTCCTTCCCCATTAAAATGGTTAAGCGTTACTAGTAATAGCTACAGGAGTGGCAGAATCAGGTCTATAATGTCTGACTGCATCATTTTCAGGTGAGTGAAAATACTAAAAGTGTATTAATATAGCAACAGGTGTGAGAGAAAGAAATAAAAAACTATAATTGGTTTCCCAGTGTGGTAGATTAGCATTTGGCTGCTACTCCATATAATCTTGCCAACATCACTCTCAAAGCAATTTCTCTTATAAAATATGGCACAATCACCACCCTATTTTGAACATGGGTATTTAATCTCAGAAAAAGTATTTAAAGCATTTGAAATATCTGACGAGACAAGTTGATTTTTTAATGGAGCCAGTTGACATTAAACTATGCTGTTTTCCACTAAGATTAATACCTTGGGGTGTACGAAAATCAGAAGAAAGTCCTTGAAGGGGTTTCATAGCCTAAAAAAATAAACATGCCCAGCCAGTGTGGCTCAGTGATTGAATATTGACCCAGGAACCAAGAAGTCCTCCGTTAGATTCCTGGTCAGGGCACATGCCCAGGTTGTGGGCTCAATCCCCAGGAGGGGGCATGCAGGAGAGAGGTGATCCATGTCTCTCTCTCACCGATGTTTCTGTCTACCCCTCTCCCTTCCTCTCTCTTTAAAATCAATAAAAAACATATTAAAAAAAAAAAAAACCTAAACATGACAGAATGCCAATCAACTCTCAAGAAAAAGTTTTGCAAGACACATAAAGCTATTTTCTTTTCTTTCTTTTTTTAAAGAATAGTTTATTGATTTTTTTTTAAATCCTCACCCAAGGATATTTTTCCATTGATTTTTAGAGAGAATGGAAGAGAGAGGGAAAGACAAAGAGAAACATCAATGCAAGAGAAACACATTGTTAGGTTGCCTCCTGCACTTGCCCTGACCAGGGCCCTGGCTGGGGAAGAGCCTGCAACTGAGGTACATGCCCTTGACCACAACCGCACCTGGGACCTTTTATTCTGCAGGTTGACGCTCTATCCACTGAATCAAAATGATTAGGACCACACAAAGCTATTTTAAAATTCCCTTTTATATAACCAAACAGTTCCAAAGTCATTGGCTGCCATCTTCAAAATCTGAATGCAGACCACTGGTGGGGTTGCCAGATTTAGGTAATACAAATACAGGATGTTCAATAAAATGTGAGTCTCAGATAAACAATGAATAGTTTTTAGTATAAGTATACCCCCCAAATACTGCATATTTTTAGTATGAGCATGTCCTATGAAATATTGAGACATATTTATACTAAAAAACTACTGTTTACCTGAAAATCAAATTTAACTAGGTATCCTGTACTTAGGGGAGAATTACTTGGTCTGCTTTGTAGAACAAGAGGCCCCCACCTGGCTGATGAGAATATGTCTTAAGGGTTACTACATGGAATGAAAGGTTAGCAATGGTCATGGTAAGAGAAAAATTGAACCTTTCTTCTGCTCCATGGGTTTCTACTCCCTCTTTCACACCGAAAAAATACTTTGAAAAACATTTAAATGTGTTTCCATTGATTTAGAGTTGTAATGGATTAGTTGTACTAAATAAAGAGGATACTTCAATAGAATCTCTAGGGTTTGTTTGTGTAGGGGCTAAGAGCCCAGGACTAGCCTAGAGAACTTGTTTCTCTTGCTAGGTTTGCTAATCTTAGTGAGGTATGAACAGACCTGATTTTGTAAAGCAGTTGGAGGACTTCAAATTTGCTTCATGAAAACGTATTTTTTTTTCTCTAATGAAGTTCATCCCCCACCTCTTTCACTAAGGGATTATCCCCATGGTTCTGTTTGATAGGACTCGTCACACTACTGGTAGGTCAAATCGCCAAGGTGGAAGCCTGCTTCTAATGGAGGCCGGAGTATTCGTGCTCCAGAGGTAGGTTCAAAACAGCAATACTGCTCTGAGTCTGCATTAAGCCCTCATGGAGAGAGCATTCATTTCAGCATCAGCTGATGTTCTGCAGCGTGGGATTCTGTTACCTTCATTTGAGCTGCCTGGTTATTCTAGCAATCAGATCTTTCTGTCTCCTTCCTGTTACCGGCCCTTGACACCAGCTATCATGTGCCCTCTTTGCTTTGACTCCCAGGTACACAATTCTTCTTTCATTTTCTTTAAACTCAAATGTTGGAATATTGGGATTTCTAGGACAGGGACATGGCTATGACAAAGGTGGGGAATAATGTGAAACCAGGACTGTCTGATAAAATCTAGGGCAAGTAGTCCCGCTAATATATCAACACCTGTCCTCTGACAGTTACCTACAACTGCAAGGATAGGAGTCAGAAATTCTACTCATCATGGCTTTTGTCACAGCTCTGCAGTTAACCTTGGGCAAATTACTGCTTCTATCTCTGCTCTGTGTCAGTTTCTGGTCCTCTTACTTGAAGCCCCTAGAACAATAATAAAAAAGAACAAAGCGCCCTAACCGGTTTGGCTCAGTGGATAGAGCACCGGCCTGCGGACTGAAAGGTCCCAGGTTCCATTCCGGTCAAGGGCATGTACCTTGGTTGCGGGCACATCCCCAGTAGGGGGTGTGCAGGAGGCAGCTGATTGATGTTTCTAACTCTCTCTCCCTTCCTCTCTGTAAAAAAATCAATAAAATATATATTTTTTAAAAAAGAACAAAGGAAAAAGGAACTCATTTTAACTTATTATGCCTACCCTTAAAATTTAAGTTTGAATCCTAGTATTTGTAATATGGCATATTGGACTTCTCTGTCCCTTTACCAGGAAGTGGGGGGAAGTTATGGAAAACAAAGGCCTTAAAAGAAATTACTGCCCTAGCCAGTTTGGCTCAGTGGATAGAGCGTCAGCCTGCAGACTGAAGGGTCCCAGGTTCGATTCTGGTCAAGGACACATGCCTGGGTTGCAGGGTCAGTCCCCAGTGTGGGCCGTGTAGGAGGCAGCCAATTGATGGTTCTCTCTCATCATTAATATGTCTCTTTCTCCCTCTCCATTCCTCTCTGAAATCAATAAAAATATATTTTAAAAAAAGAGTGATTTACTCCATCAGACAGTAAGAATAATACTTTCTGTAAAATAGTGACTTTTTCCTCTCCTCTTTAATTCCTTTGATTCTGTCACCTTCTAATGTCCTTTTACATTGAGATGAGACAGTAATGAATCACTTTGGCAAAAGTACATAGATGTTTCCTGATACAGAATTCCTAAAACTGAGGCTCCCACATCATAGTTACTGTATGTTTGGGGCAAGAAAAATATAAATCCCTCTTGAATGTTTGAATTGTGCCTGTTTGCCTAAAGAATTTTGTCTCTTCTTTTTTGGCCTGCCCTAATTCCTGATGTCAGGTCCCTAGGGTAACTGTGCTATGTCTCATTCTCAGTGAATGTATGTTTTATACAGTGTGATCGCACTTTGAACTAAAATAGACCATATCTAGAAATCTGAGGGTACAGCTTCCCAGGACTAAAGAATATAAGCAGTTTGAATTGCTTTTTGTCTCTGGCTTCTTCTTGAGTCAGTTCACAATATAGAGATGTTACCATTTAGGTGGTGTTGTTTTTCAAGTCACCAGATCCCAAAGGCTAGCCTCTATACTGGAGACTATTCCCTAGAAAATGCAGAATATCTGAAAATGAAAGGGTCCTCAATGCTTACCTTAAGTTTCTCTTCAGCTTCAGTATTATTAGTTTATTGGGGACAAGATGACTTTTGGCTCAGTCCTGTGCCTAAGCAGGCCATAAGCCAATTTTATAGCTTCTCCTACATTTTTTAAATGTTTATTAATCTTGATTCATATGCAAATCAGGGAAGCTGGAAGTGGAAGATTTTCATCCTCTGTTATTTAAGATATGTGGCTAAAACTCCAACGCAAATTGCTCTCATAAAATCACACCCTGTATAAAAAAAAAAAAA